TTTGTCAAAAAGAAAAGAAACCCGGGGGAGGTTAAATGGCCTTAGTAATGCGATTGGACGTAAGATATGATCATTTAGGGCAACCACAATAACCCATATAACATTATACAACACATCATTGATACGTTAACATTCCACTACACTATCACTTTTTATACTTTTTTCTCCAACAATTTTACACTCCTTATTCATATAATTTGGGACACACAACTACTCAACTATTATTATCCTACAACTATTTCACTATTAATACTTTATTATTTTTTAAAATAATTATATTTATATATAATTTTATTATTTAAAAAATATATGTAAAAATCATTATTAAAATAATATACGAAAACATTTATGAATAATAAAACATTAATTATCATTGACTAAACATCATATAAAAAATAAAAAAAGACTAATTATTACTGTATAGTATGAGATAAAAATTATTAATCCATTGTCAAAATGATAAAAGAAAAAGAAAAAAAAGAAGGGAAGTAGCGGTCACTACAAAAAAAAAGGAATAAATAACAATGAAAAAAAGGAAAAAAAATGGAATTGGGGGCTGGGCATGTGATGGCCCCGCCCATTGCCCCAGCTTTTTGTCAGATTCACCGTGTCAAATATTTTATATCCCTGACAAAATTAAACTCCCTCCAACAATAGGATAAAATTTTATCCTAACATTATATAGCAATTATGTCATTGTTGTAGATGCTCTTAAATCGACTATTTTAGGTCACATTAACTACATCAATTTAAATTTATGAACCATGTCCATGTTGTGTACAAATAAATTGACTATAGCGGACATGATTTTGATGTAGCGTTGGTGTTTCCCTAATTACAGTACTCTATTAAAATTATATAGTCGCAATCATGCTGACCGAATTTAGTAACAAGAATCTTGAATTGTCATAATCGTGTATATATACTACAACACTCAGAATAAGCTAATTTACTACACTGAATGGGTCTTCTTTCTGTGGGTAAAACTCGCAAAAAGTATCTAACAACTACAATTACGTACAAAGATTTATCTTGGGACTGATGAATAATTTGTTCTTAATTAAACCATGATTAAGTCGAAGAAGTTAAAAGTGAAGTTGAGACTTGAGAAGATTGTGGTAGAAGAGAGAGACTGTCTTTTCTGTTCCCTTGAATTAATGCCCTATTTTGAATGAAACCTTGAAAACTAATTTGAAATCCATCACGTACGTTGTTGAAGATGGAAAATTAAGCGAGAAAATTACAAATGACTGACCGATAGTATCTTTTTTTTTCCTTTAGAAAAAGGGAAGAAAATGAGCATAATTAGAGTAAGTCGTATTTGCATGTAGTTGCCAATCAATTAACTGGTGTACAGTATGATGTTTCAGCACATATTGACTCTACTCTTTTCATCTTAGAAAATATTTCTCTCTTTGTCATAAAGAAAAATGATGTTTTTTTTTCATCTTGAAATGATTCTCTTAATGATTGACGAAGGGGTTACGAACATCTAAGTCCCTCGCGTGTTTATTATACGGTATCTTGATTTGTCCTAAGTTTCATCTAGTATAGTTTTTTCGATCAGAATAAAATCTTAAAATCATATTTTTTTACATTCATTATGTTCTCTTAGTTATTTGAAAATACTTTTATGGTATTTTTTTCAATTGAAATTTTTCAATTGAAAAAACATATTAAGTGAAATATTAGACAAATTAAAATACATTATAAGGACCGGAAGGAATATATTCGTCAGCATTTCTTTTAGGGGGAAATCGTATTGTTTTATAAAATTGATCTGAAAGTTTATAAGATGAAGTGGCCGCCCCGAATGTATGCGGAGCTCACACATCACTTCTATGGAACTTACAGAAACCATCGATTACTTTTTTTGTTTTAAAATAAACGTTCAGCCAATTGAATTAAAGTAATATAATAAATAATACTCTTATGGTAGCGCGGAAAAATTATAATGTGAAACCACTATAGGAGTAGTTTCGATTGCCCTCTTAACACCGTGGAAGTACCTTTCTTAGAAAGCAAAAAAGTTTTTTGGAAAATTTTCTGTAAACAAAATGTTCATCGATATAGCTAGGAATTGATTCTAGGATAACCTGGTTGGTGTTGCAACAAGGTTGCAGCAAATCATGTGGGACAATGAAGTGGGAATTTAATTGTTGGGAGAAGTCGTGGCAAATGATCCTTGCGAGTTTGTGTAGGTCAAGGAAGCGCTTTTAAGGAGCGCTTTTTATCATTTGCCTTGATTCATGGGGTACCAGTTCCCATCAAGAAAAGTACTATTTCACATGCGCATCACTTTTACTTGACCAACCCTCTAATTAAAAGCATTGATGATGATGATTGATTTAGTTAATTACATTTATATAATTTAACACTTACTCTTACTATGGTCTTTTTCTTTCTCTCCAAAACCTGTAATGACTCTCTCTTATTGGTGAGTGGTGACACATGACAATCCGCTTTGAGTCTTGACATAGTCAAAGTAATGCTTTAAATCTCATGAAATCCATGTAAACCTGAATCCGATTGAATGATTGAATGTGATTCAATAAATTCTTACAACATTGACCTTAAGTATGACGTTGTGTATATTATGCGGCATATATACTAACATCGGATCACTGAATAGATTTCTCTACGCTTAGAGGTGCTGAGTTAAGAACATGGGAGATACTTCCTATGATTTTGTTTTGTATTTTGTGTTCTATTCTTTTTGGCTTTGTTTCAAATACCGCCATTAATTGATCTATAGGCGCACCACAAAATTGATTATCACGAAAGTGTACATATATATATATATATATATATATATATAATCACGAAAAAACAACATAATAACAGCTCTAGAATTAGTCCGTGGACCTTATATGTCATTTCTTGGGTAACATAAAAATTATGTACTACCAAAGATATCTTTCCTTTTGAAAAGGTTGGCTTTGTACTAGGTTTTAGAATATCTACTAGTCTTATCTTATCTTGTTCGTCCGCATTGTTTTGATTATACGTGTGACGAAATTCATTGTTTTAGGCAGTGGTTTTTATAAATTTATATATGCTCCATAACTAATCTCAATTGGCTGCGACATGGAGAATAACGAGGGATACATACAGCAGCTATACAAAATCACTGGAACAAAAATCCGATGATGCTTGGCTTACACAAAATTTTTATAGTACATATTTTATTCCCTCCGTTTAAAAAAATACTCCCTCCGTCCCAAAATTATTGTCCAGTTTTACTAAAATAAAAGATTTTATTTTTGGTCAAACTTAACTATATTTTACCTTAAACAACCGGATATACCCCTACATAACTAATTGTTTAACCACTACGATTTTATGGATAGTGTTTTTTACTAAGGACAAATGGGTAACTTGATCCATAAAAAGTCAAATTGGACAATAATTTTGGGACAAAAATTTTTGGGCAAAGTGGACAATAATTATGAGACGGAGGGAGTAAAAAATAAAAAATATTAAACTACTAGTATTTGCGGAGGATATGGATGTACATATATATATATATGTATATATATATGTATATATATATATGAGGATATGGATGTGTATATATATATATATATATATATAAACTACATCTAAATCGATGATGCTTTAATCTAGTTCAATGAATATTTATGTTCTTGGAGTAATTAAGCACTTAGTAGACTGAAAATAAGAATCTTTCGCCAAAAAAAAAAACTGGAAGAGAAGCATTCACTTGGGATCCAGTCCAGTTGCAAGAGTGTAATTTTCAATCTGAAATCAATTCGGATCCACCTCAAAAATATTTCAACTCACCTAACTAAGACAAGTGGATGAATGATCATAAGTTTTTGGAAGAACATGCATCATTGCACCTTAGATAGTGCTAATTAATGGAACACTTAATCTGTGTGGTGGGTTGGTTCTGCTTGCACTCTGATTTCTCAATAACAGTTCAAACTAATGAAGTACTTTGATTGGTGGTACTCTACCACCAGTCGGCTGCATTATGAAAAATCTTCCGCCAAGAATTAAAATCCTCAAGATCATTTAATCTACTACAGTTTTTGAAAATTTGGTACGTCATGACTAGAGCTTTGTGGTTAGAACTTAGAAACATCAGCCAGAAGAGTGATTGACGACAATTTTTCCTAATATTTTGACAGGGATCAACAACAAATTGTGAGAATTTAGGTTTCAAATAGTCCAAATTTAAATTGAAAAGGTAAAATTAGAAAAGCACACATTGGCTTTTAAGTGATTAGTGTCCATGGGAAGTTAACAGCCACTTTTACAATTAATAGTGTCACTATTAATTGTTTTGCAAGCCAAGAGAGAGTCATCTAAGTTAGATCCTTTTAGCCCATCATTTACATTGAATTTTGAAATTCGTGACTTGTGAAGTGGCTGTTGGCATCCCATGTTACATATTTGCAAGGTGTCACCGTCAGCAACAATGAATTTTGAAATTCGTGACTTGTGAAGTGGCTGTTGGCATCCCATGTTACATATTTGCAAGGTGTCACCGTCAGCAACAATGACTAATCCCCCTTGCTGAATTGTAGGTACTTTGATTGGTGAGACAGCTGGTCAAAATATTTAAAATTATTCCATACCTATGACGAGATTCGAACCCTCGACCTATAATTAAGGGTGAAAGGGTCCCTTCCACTCCACCACCACCACTTTGCCTCTTGGTTTTATATATTCCCAATTTAAAGTAAGTTTATACAGATGACACAGCATCAAATTGTAATAGCAAGCAAATGATTAAGATGAATGGGCTATAGCCCAAAAGAAAAAGGGAATACAGGAATACAATCAATCTGTAATATGGCTTTCCGAGTCTTTTCAATACAATTAGCTACAGGATGTTGAATTCTAGCGATGGTGCTCTGGAGTAGATTCATAAGGCACAATCGCCACGCCACTTCTCGATAATCTAGCTAACTAAATAAGAGTAGACATCTCGTCATCAGCTTTAAAAATCTTCCATAACTACAACTGTTCTATCAACGTCTGCGACCATTCTTTCCACCCTTTTTACCACCCTTCTTCTTACCGCCCTTCTTCTTCTTCTTTTTATCAAAAACAGGAGGACAGCCTTCATCGATGGGTTTAGAGGTTGAAGGTTTAAACATGTTTTTGACGTTAAGCACACCATTTTTGAAGACACCAGTGGTGGACTTCAAAACTCTCTCTTCGGGCTTGCGTTTGTCTGTCTTTTTACTATCTCTGCCATGACTCCCAGTGAATCGTCCAAGTATCAGGTTCTACAAGGCAACAGTTAGGGAGGCCCATATAGCATGGAAACATAAAGCGAACAATAATTGACGATTAGATGCCAACACAAACCTCTTGTTGCCTTTTTGCCTCTCTTTCTTGCTGTTTCTTCATCACCACTCTTGCAACACTAAGTGGTAATCTCTGGCTCTTGGGAGGCTTGACAAAAGAACAATAAAGTGAGTCTAAACCAGACAGCCAGTAAGAAAAAACTCATGACAAATTTGACCATCATTCAACTAATTACCTTCCCCCCAAGAGACACTACTTTCTTGTTTTCCAGCTCTTTCTTCTGTTTCCATGTCATGTGTGAATAGCCTGAGAGCAATAACAGTAACAGAAAGAAAACTGTTACAATCCATGGTTGGGCAGAAAAATAAGGAGCTACAAAATTATAGCCTCCACAGAGTTGACCATCAAATCACCCAATTTTGTGAATACATAAGTCTTCAATATAGTTAAAGTTGTAAAGCACCAAGTAAGCCTAAACTAACACGAAAAGCCAAGGCATTCGTCTGAATACTCCTGAGAATCACCAGAAGCCCATATGGACAATTCTATTAGACTGCACAGGAAAATCATACAAAGACTTTAAGTAATAAGCAATTTCGCAAAACATCGAAACCTTTCAGGTGCTTTCCACAAAAGTAAATTAATAACAGACGGCTCAAAATTTATCAAACATATGACTGGCAAGAATACGACCCAGTATGAGATATGCTGAAAGCATTAAAAAAAAAAATACAAAATATACCTAAGACATCCAAAATGTAAACAGTAGAAAAGTGAGGATAAATCCCAGCACAGACGGTGAAGGAGGAATCATGCCAAAACACAAAAAAAAAAAAAAAAAAACAAAAACACGTAGGATAAGGTAGGAGTTCATCTCACTTATTACTTAATAAATGAAAACAAAATAACACCCTGAATGAAGGAAGAGAATTAACCAATGGAAACCTCAGGAGTATATCTATATCAATACTAACAATTTTGACATTATAATTCAGTAATATTCAGTACATATATCAAAAACACTGCAAAGTATTATAGCACACATTTGCTCACAAATCTTCAGGTTCCAAGCTGAAGCAAACTTTGCAGAAACCAATCAAAGAAACAAAAAAATACCTATATGCTCCATATCCTTCATGATGGACTTGAAGTCCAACCTCTGGTCCCCATTGTTCATAGATTGAGCAGTTGATCCTCGGCCAGAACCTTGATTTTTCTTTGTCATTTTTCAACTGTTGTAAGAGAAACAAAACAATTTCAGAACTGGAACCTCAATATATCATGAACCAGAAGGATAACATTCATATAATTTTGTCCCTAATCACATCAGGGAGAGAAAAACATGCACAAGTCCTTTCATCAGACTAGAAAAAAAAAATGAAAATTCAATGTAGAACCGAAATATCAAAACTATTATTAACAACAATTAACTTCACATGGTGATTAGGAGACACATTTTTCCCAAGCAAATAATCAAGACTTCGGCTGTTTCAGGGTCTCCCAATTACCCCAACATGAGGGAGGAGAAGCAGCTCCCTCCAATACTGTAATATTCTCTCTCAGGACAACTGTGATAATTTCCTCCGCAAGATCAAATTATCACCTCAACATTAGAAGCTAACCAATTCCAATCGTAGGGCAGATTGCATTGTTGACACTAAAAACAAACAGTAAAATTATTTTCCCCAAAGGAGAAAAAAAAAGAAAAAGTGGTGAAACATGCCTTCGCAGTTAACAGAATCAAAACATTAAGACTGTAGCTGAGATTTTGAAATCGACAATCAGGAATTCCAACAACCTAGATTCACCACAGACAAAAAAAAAAGAAAGAAAAAGAAATGATATGCTAACGTTAAACTAATAGAATTTTTACAGATATCAAAGACCGCCGAACCTACGGCCTGGTATTATCTTCATACCTCTTTCTGTATCTTCCCGAGTTCTTTGAGCAGGAAGCGACGTGACCGTTCCGGCAGTCAGAATATCAAAGAATGGCTGCAGAGGGCCGGAGGATGGAGCTGTTGCTGTCGTCTGTCGCGGTCGAAAACATAAAACCCTTTTAACTGTACATAACTAATCGACGTCAAAAGTAATTCGGGCCGATTCTGGTAACGGGTTTTTCTAAGAGAATTTACATCTTAGCCCGCTACACTCCGGATTTTCTAGACAATTAATTTGGGTCATGGCCTATGGGCATTTGTTTGGACCATATGCTAAAATTTCGTAAGAATTAATGGTTATTTGTAGTAGATGTTAGTAGTACTTTTATTATTTGGGCCAAATCCATTTGCGAATTTGTTACGTTTTTCTTCAATCTAATATGTTGAAGTAAAGAAATTCTTAATCCTTTCATCGGAGTTTTGATAATTTACGAAGAATCTTACATTATATCGAGTTTCTAAAAACTTTTAATGAGTTAACTTGAACAACAAAGCTTTGATTGATAAAAAAAAAAAAAGTTCCACTCTTTCCTGTCCTTATTATAAAACATTTTGACTTTTCATAAATTTCACATAGTACATAGTTTTAATTGATAAAAAAACCTTAAAAATATATTTTCACATTCATTATGTTTTCTTGATTATTATGAAATATTTTTAAGATTTTTCTTCGATTAAAAATGTGAACTAGGTTAACTCTAAGACTAATCAAAATACCTTATTTTAAGGACGGGGGAGTACTTCGAAAAAATTAATGTCGCACAGTGATGAATATAATAAATTTTCATCAATCAAGCCACCATGACCTAATGAGGCAAAAGCATAAAATGAAAAACTCTTTATCCTATGATATCTAACCTATTTGGAGTTAGATTGAACGAGTGATTATTGCAACGATAATCGATGAGCACTGTAATTAAATTTGACTTGGGGAGGATTTGTTTAGTCGTAAATTCTCAATCTAACAAATAAATTCCATGGAATGCGAATTTACCACCGCTAGTTAACTTGTGTCTATGGCCTTTATTTTGGTCATGTTATTCACATGTTGTCCACGATCACTGTCTATTATTAGGTGGTGAGGTCAGAGGTGCATGTATTGTGATATTTTTTTTTCACAATTAAAATACCCAATTTAGAAAAAAAAGTTTAATACTGTGATAAAATAAGGTCTCAAGCGTTGACATGTGTCAAAAGAACACTGAACTTGACATGTGGCAAAAAAGGCTTTGAACTATCTAATTGAACGACACGTGTCAATTGAAAATTTTCATTTAATCTTTAACTAATATTTACTCCTCACGTTGTGATATTTTCGAGAGAGTGATATCAATATTAGGTATAAATTTTAATTATGTAATTTTTAATGTTAATATGTTTTATTATTTTAAGTATATTTGGAATTATTTTCAATATTCGAAAATATCCAATGTAACTTCTTTGCTTAAAAAAAATATATTCAATGTAACTTATAGTCCATATTTTTTCATTTTGTTGATTTATGACTTTATATTTTTTAATTAAATATATTATCTTAATTTGTCATAATCATCTCCCTAAATATATCTACCCTTGTCATATCTTGTAAACTCTCCTCTAGTAGAAAATTTTCTACTCGTGTCAATGCAATTTAATTGAACACATTTACAATGGAACGCACTTCTTCTACTTCAAGTTTTGAAGTTTCCTTCCCACAATTCAGCTTACTTGTTGGATAAATCTTCATGTACTTGTATTTTTCTTTCTGTTAATTTAGGCGTGTAATCAATAGTTAAAGATTTTTTAAAAAAGTTTTTCATTAGTTATGGTATTGTACAGATTATTGGGGTACTTTTGTTCTCTTCGTATAATCTATTTCATTCTCACAATTGCCAATTCATAGAGGTAAATTTGATGACTAATTCGAACCAATTGTTAGGCTTTTATTTCTTTAGTTTGGGATTTTTTGAATTTTAAATTAATTTTGTGGATCAATACGTAGACCCTTTTAGCAATAGAAATTTTGAATGGCATGTATGCAGTTTTTGTTTTTGATTCGGCTGATTTTTGTAATGGTATAATATATATATATATATATATATTTTAGTTTCGATTTAATTTATTTGTCATTAAATGAAATATAAGTTAGGATTTTGATTTAATCTATGTTAGCTGCATAAATAAATCGACTAATAAAGTTACTTCATAAAAAAATTATCATATTATTTTCTTTAATGACAAAGAAATTTAAACGATTTGTAGATTTAAATTGTTAAATTATTAAAATATAATGAAATAAAATATACATCCTATTAGATTTCTAATAAATAATATAGTTGTACTTTACGGTTTGTTTTAATATGAAAAAATAAGCTGCGGTTGTCTTCCTTTGATTTCCAAAAATGAATAAACACATCATTAAAAAAAAATCATCAATTCCATAATCAAGATCGGTTCCCAAAAATGATACCAAATAAGATGGACATGCGGAAGGAAATTAGATTAATTTCCTACACTAATGTATATCTCCTTCAATTTTCAAACCGATTTGTGTAATTATGGATGAAGTTATTTGCATAATCATGTTGACCCGCTTAATCTCTGTTTCTTTTCATTATTTCTTTCTTAAGTTGCTGATAACCCTATTGAACAAGAATACGAAAGAAAAATGTCAGAATAGTTATTTGTGAAATTCACTTATTCGTACCTAGAAATTATTTTTTCCCTAAGGAATTAATTAATCTCGTTCTTAAAGTGTGAGGTATAAAATCATAATCGGTCTTATACTTTCAAGTTGGACCCAAGAAAAATTGATAATTAAACAAGAGATTTAAAACTAAAAGCGCAAAGGAAATCGTTTTGTTTTGTTATGAACCTAATAATATACCCGAGTGCACTGAATACGGACTCCGGCCGGATAAAACTTTCAGCAGGGTCAAAATTCAAAGTCCAACAAAGTTCCCAACTTTTCATATCCTCGTGCTTACGAAAACCCCAACTCGTTGCCAAAAGAAGGGGGGGAAAGCATGTTAAAAGTTTCAAATTATTCGTACCATGAATTTTCTTAGAAATATTAATTAAGACCTAAATAAAAAAAAAAGCCAAAGCAATTTCTCGGAACCTGCAGGTCGTGCAAAAAGGAAATCTTTTTGTTAGGTTGTCCAAATTGATTGTGTTCTCTTTAATATTTTTATTTGTTTTTCCTGTGACGAAATCTGGTAAAGCTTGGACACATGTTCATAATATACATTCACGAGAAAGGAATTGCATCAAGTTCTCTTTGTGATTTTTATTTAAATCACGTTACCAAATATTCTTTCAGCCGAAAAAGTACTAATAAAATAGTCGAAAAGCTCATGCGAATGAGTTTGTAGGTGTGGTGGTAGGCTACTTTGCGTAAATCAATCATGTGACATTGTGACTGTGGATGGGTATACGTATTAAAACGTTTTCTATATTATGTTTTGAATTTCAATTTTGATACTTCTTAAAAGAAAAATGCCGAACTTGAATATTACGGAATTGTCTGACTATATAATTTAGCATTGGGTTGCGTTATTCCTTGTTAACCTAAGCTAGTGCCAACCAATTAATTAAACACGCCAAATTATATACCGAGGAAATATTAGGGGATTTTTATATATACACATTCAATGGTTCTGTTTTCTTGAGGGACACGTGAAGTTTCTAGTTTATAGGGGGAGCACATATCAATATCACCGTATTTGGTCAAACTTAATCAGCATGCTTGGCAACAGCCTAGCAATCGAATATCTCCTCTGGATGATGATTTGGCTTCTTTTAAGTACAAAAGTACAAAGCCTAACTCTAACCTACTCAACTAATTAAAGTGATCTTATACTGATTTATAATAAACACAGTTATACCATACGATGATCTGGCTTACATTACTGTATTTCAGCTAGCAACTAAATCTCCAAAATATATTACATATACTTTTTGCTCTACGACAAACAATATGTAATAATTTTGAAACAGACGGAGTAAGGTTTTTTTTTTTTTCTTTAAGCCGAGGTAAGTTTTATTGAATTTTTAGGGAGTGTTTCACGTATTTATTGAAGCATTAATTAGGGCTAGTTTGGCTTTTCACACAAATTTTCTTTAGGATGGTCCCTCACCGATGTTTTGAATGGTTAATCAGACAACTTGGACTCAGTCACCCATTTCTGAATCTCTTTGGCTAGCCATGATCTGAACCCAACACAAGTTTTTTGGTCAATTTCAAACTTACACGTACTGTTTCAAAGTTCAAACGGTTGAACAACCATGTTTCATACACTCAACTTCTTAGTTCTGACCTGATCTCTGAGTATTATACACGCTATATGTACTAGGTAACGAACCAAAAAAAAAAAAAGAAAAAGAAAAAACAGTGTAACAAAAAATGTTGCAAAAATTTATGAAAACTCTAAACTAAAAAACAATATATATATATATATATAGCCAAAAAAAGGAAATATCAAGATTTAAGTTCATGAATACAGGTGAATGTTTAAATTATAATCATTAATATAAAAATGAACGATCTCCATCCCAAAACAATTATTCTGATTAATATATTAAATATTACGACGAACAAAGGCAATAACTTTAGAATATGAGGAATACTAAAATTGGATGAGTTAACTACCAGTTTGGATTTTCCAACCAAAAAACAAAAGAATGAAAAGAAGAAGAAATAATTATTTTGGAAAGAAACAAAACTCCATCTGTAGCGAACAAAATTAAGAACAACTGTCTAGCTACATCAACCTCTCGTCAAATAAAACTGATCGTAGATACAGATACAATGAGAGAAAAATGCTAATAACTTATCAAATGGATCAGATGAAAATGATAAATTTACGAACTAAATGTACAAAAATAGAAACAAAAGAATTAAGAGCTAGCATCTCATAATTAATTAATCATCTTATTCACATAATTTCATACTTCTCCTAACTCTTCATCAATTCGATTAAATTCCCTACACTATACCCCCCATTAATCCACCTAACAACCAAAAGAAAATCAATATACAAATAAAAAAAAATCAATCATAGAAATGATCAATCTAACAAATTAATCAGAAGAGAGCAATATATTAATTAATTAATTTTCTCCATATCTGTTAGTGAACTTCGGCTGTGACCCTCCTCTCGTTCATGGTTCCGGAGAGAGCCAATCCGCCGGCATCCATGTTGATCTTTTTGCTTCTGTTGGGACGCAACAATAATTTGGACCAAAACCCTCCTTTTTTCTTCTCATGATCAATCTCTCTTCCGGCGGTTTCTCTCCTCCTGGTGATAAAAGCCACCGACCGACTCTTCGTGAGCACATTTTTTCCGGATTTAAACAAAGTCATCGAAAACCCTCTTCCCTCGGAATCCAACCGGTAATGCCGGTGGTGTAACGGGGAGGAATTCGAAGAAGCACTGGCGGAATAATGCGAAGAAGATGACAGCGAAGATAAAGATGACGAAGAACACGAAGACTGATGATCATCGGCTGCGGTCGCGCGCCGCGAGCTGGAGTTGGATAATTTTTTGAGCTTCTCATTCAAGCAAACCGAACAAACTCCCGGAGATTGTTGGTGTTTGGGGTGCTTCTTGCACATTGATAAGTTCCTTGGCCTTGGTGGTGGTATTTGGTGTTTTGTATTGAATATTTGTTGGTTTTTGGTCTTGCTTTTTGATCTGATGATAGATTCCATTTTGGGTCTAAAAATTGGTGTTTGGGTTTTTTCTTTGATCTTATAATGGGGTGTGGGGGATTTATAGAAAGTGGGTTTGGTTTGGTTTGGTTGGGATGAATGAGAATAATTTTTGAAGGTACAAAAGTTCAATGGAATTTCAAGTGTACGTACAGAGTGATTTTCCAAGGGGTTTCAGGGGGAGTTTCCTGGTGTGTTTCACAAAATGGCTTTTTTGACGGTTTGTGCGAGCGATTGGAAAAGTCTGGCCATTTGACTGAAAATTAATAGTCTCTGAAAACTGCATGGTTGGATATTGAGAGATTTATATATATATATATATATATATATATATATATATATATATATATATATATATTCTACGTTATAAAACTTTTTCTGGTGGGGTCATCAGGGGAAACCTCATGAATCGGCAGATGAGAATGATGTCTCGAATTCGATTACTCGACTTTTTCTTTTTTCTTTTCTCTTTGGTATACTACGATGTTTTGTTTTTTTAGACCGCACCTAATGATGCTTTAGAAATACCTAAGTTATTACAACAAAAGTAAAATTTATTGGGAAATGGAATAGTACTACTAAGGGGGGACTCCACTCGATTGACCCTCTTACTCAACGTGTCCGGTTCTCTGTGACTGATGATGGCAGGCATCCTGTCTGCTTAAGCTTGCGAGTTGGTCAGCTACCTATTTCTTGCGTCTGCGGTATGAATCGAACCCTCAATCTCGCGGTTAAAGGTATAACGCCCACTTGGGCATGGTTCGATTCCTACGATATTAAAAGTCGGTAACAACAATTTATTCATTTCATTTAGTTATATGTAACTCAAAAAATAAAATTATTAATCAAAAAGTTTATTTCATATTCATATAAATTTGTATTTTCTTTGTCTCATAATTATTGTTCACTTTGAATTTTTTTTTTAATTTAATTTATATTAAAAATTAAAGTAAAACTGAATAATAATTTTAAGAAGGATCGAGAGAGTAATACATAACTCTGAGTGGTAGTAATATATGAGTAATTCATTCCATTCAACTATGATCGCCAACAAAGATTGGAAGCCACCTCACTTCCTTTCTGCTGCTTTTTTAAGTTTTTTAAGCCTTTTAAGGGACAAAAGGGTGAAAGTTCTTCTTTAGTTGCAAACCTTTTTATTTTTTCGAAAGTGGGTTTTCGGCGGCTTGGAAAATATGGACAAATTTACACGATGAATCCGCAGCCTTACCAGGAGTTTGTTTTTGTTCAGTTTCTCACGAGGAGTTTCTTTGTTCTTTTTCCCCCAGAAAGAGGCTTATATTTTTTTTAATGATCATTCAATGTCAAAATGAACCTGCTCAAGTGATAGGACGTTTAATTAGTTGTTACATTTCTTCGATACTAACGCTCTAAAACATCTTACATAATTAATTGAAATCCCGATTAATTTATATTACTATTAAATATTTTATATTACATTTCTTCAATGACAAGGCAGTTTTTTTTTTGGTTACACTAACATAGTTGCTTTGTTCTTGGTTACATCGTTTCTTTTCTTTGAGTATTCCGTTCTCTAATTATATATGGATGCCAAAAAGAAGTGCATTTTCGTCCCCTTTGGACTTTTCCTGGTGGTTTGAAACTTGGAGCACTATTCGTTCGTTAGTTCTTACTCTTGGAGCTGATTTTTGGTTGGTTAATGTTGTTGTTTTCTTTTTCTTAAGTATTAGTTGCTTGGTTTTCATTTAAAGTTTGTGACTTTCTTTTTGCTATCCATTGATTTGGACTTTGAGACACAAATTAATTTATTTCATCCCTGATATTGATATTATAGTGTTACAAAAAACGTACCCATATTTGTTTATATTTCCTCTGGTCCTTATTATAAGGCATTTTGTATTTTGTATTAGGTTTCACTAATGATATTTTTTTAATTGAAATAAAAACCTAAAAATATTTTTTAATAATTAAGAAAACACAACGAATGTAAAAATATATTTTTGGTATGTAATTGGTGCTTTGTAGTGTTTATTCATTTTTTGTCAATCCAACACTAATCGTTTACCTACGGTTATCAGATGTGCAAGAACATCCATGGGCTGGCAACGTTGTTAAAGCATTAGAAAGTCAAATGGTGCTTAACCACTTCAAAATGCTCCTTTTAGGTGCTTAACCAAACATTTTTTCGCTCCCTAAACGGGAAGAGATGGCTTTGTGTCCCAATTGTATTTCGGCCCGAACTAAAAACCTGCCCAATATGGGATGCGTTTTTTGAAGTACCTAAATCCAAATAGGAATATGATGTTGAAGCTCTTTCTCAAAAGCTATATAAATAGCACACGAGGGAAGATCCAACTATGCTACTATATTTTTTAAAAATAAAAAAATTAGATGGCTCAGTGAGAATAGAACCCTCAAATTCCTAGTAGTAATCATCATCATCTTAATCTCCTAACCACCCCAACCAACCCCGCAAATTATATGGGGCACCCGGTGCTCCCAAGTTAGGGAGCTCCGGGACAGGAGCGTGTAATACACGCTTAAAAAGTTGCATCCAATATATTTCAAAAAGGGAATGTAACTTACGTGCATCGTCATGCTTTTTTTTCCCTCTTTTCTCTTCACCCTTTTAGACCTAATAATTAAACTAATTAAAACTTAGAACTTTATCGGGCGATTCTTTGACGGCAATCTTCCGACTTCGATTCCGCCTTCAATTTAATTCGATTTAGTTTCCTGACGGTGATTCTATGGTAGTGCTTCTATTTGATTTAGTTTCCTATTTCAATTTCATTTACTTTATATCTCTTCGGCTGTGTCGAATGAATTTGAACTTCACCAGCAATAACGTAAAAAAATTTCAGAACTATGTGATTTATTGTGTTTTTTGTGTTTGTTTTGGAGGTCTGGTAGATGAGCTATTTGGAAAGAATGTGTGCTGCCATTATTCCTTATTCAAGTGAAGAATCAAAGGATGAAAGCATCGTTAATGTGGAAGGATTTGATGAAAGTGTCGTTTTTGTTGGAGTTGAACCTGAATTTCTTTATTATTGGATAAATTTCAATATTTTGAATGTTTTTGATGAATTTTTAAGGTCATTTACTGCGTTTCCTGTATATTTTGTGTCGTGAGCATTGTAGTTTCGTGGGATGAACATTTTGAGTTTTAGATGAACTGTAGTTCATTGTTTACTGAAATGAGCATTTTAGTTTTGTGAGATGAACATTCTGAATTTTAGATGAACTGTAGTTCATTGTTTACTGAAATGAGCATTTTAGTCTTGTGAGATGAATATTTTGAGTTTTAGATGAACTGTAGTTACGTTTACTGCAATGAGAATTGTAGTTTTATGAGATGAGCATTTCATGTTTTTTTCATTTCTGTATTTTATAAATGTAGATCTTCTTGGCCATGAATTCAATTCAATTGGTGATGCGTATATATGTTATGAATCATATGCTAGGATACTTAGTTTTGGTATTAAGAAATTTAGAAACAAATACAGGGAAGGTGGCGAATTGCATGTGAAACAGTTTACTTGTAATAAACAAGAGAAGAAAAGGTGTAGAGGATGCAGCCTCGATGCACATCATAGTTTTTGAGCACCAGGTAGTACAAGATGCAGATCACGTTTCCTGAGATGAACTTTAACATTTTGGAGTGAACTTGAGACGTAGGATGAACGTTACAGTTTCGTAAAATAAGCATTCACTTCATTGAAGTGAACATTGTAGTTAGAAGGATGAGATATCATATTTTTACAATATTATTTCCCGATGAAAAACGTTTGAATTTAGGACGAACATTACAGTTTTATAGAATGTGTATTGTACGTTGTTCAACCAAATTAAAAAAATTTTAAATTTTTGCGCCTGGAAACGATTAACCTTTTAAATTTTTTTAAAACAATTAGGCTACCCTAGCCTAATCGGTTTAAAAAAATTTCAACCAAATTAAAAAAATAAAAAAATTCATCTCCGTGTCGATTTAGAGTTTTGGGGGTTTAAGCATTTCAATTATAGGTTAGAATCTAGTTTCTGCCGGGAAACGATTAACCTTTTAAATTTTTTAAACCAATTAGGCTATGAGACCCTAGCATAGTCGGTTTAAAAAATTTCAACCAAATTAAAAAAATATAAAAAAAATTCATCTCCGTGTCGATTTAGGTTTAGGGTTTAGGAGGGTTTAAGCATTTCAATTATAGGTTAGGGTCTAGTTTCTCCTGGAAAATGATTAACCTTTTAAAATTTTTTAAACCAATTAGACTTTACGAGACCCTAGTCTAATCGGATTAAAAAGATTTCAACCAAATTAAAAAAAATTTAAAAAATTCATCTCCGTGTCAGTTTAGGGTTTAGGGAGACTTAAGCATTTCAATAATAGGTTAGGGTCTAGTTTCTGCCGGGAAACGATTAACCTTTTAAGTTTTTTTTAAACTAATTAGGCTAAGGTATTGTTTACAAGACCCTAGCCTAATCAGTTTAAAATTTTTTTAACCAAATTAAAAAAAATTTAACCAGATGAACATTGTGTTTTACTGGTTGAACATTGTAGTTTAACTAGATGAACGTTGTGTTTTACAGGATTAACATTGTAATTTAACCAGATGATCTTACAGGATTTTTGACAAATAAGGATCATGACTCTAAGATGAACATTGCAGTATAACAGGATGCACAATTATATTGGTGCAGTGAACAATAGAAAAGTTTAATGAATTTTATACTTTCAAAGTGATCAAAAATATTTCAGCAGGATTCACATTGTATCTACAAAGTTTTGGAATAATAAGTCAAAAATTAAAGTCCACTACCAGTGAACACTAGTTGAATTAACATAGAACTTTTTACCCTAAAACTTTTCTAGATAAAATCCATTGATCTTTCCTTGAAGCTCTGGATACAAGCTGTTGGTTCTTGACTGCAGGATTTCAGCTAGATATTTCATCCGCAAAGTGTTAGGGCGATCTTACAGGTTTACTTTTCTCTCCTGTTTAGAAGTGTCGAAAACATGAAGACACTTTTATACTGGTTTCTGTTGGATGACAACATTAACATTAATAAGATGAGTAACCATACAACGAACAATCACATCTATAAAATGAATAACTAAGTCTCACAGCAGAAATTTGGGTTGAAGTTAAAGAACATCAATCCAGAAATGAACATCAAACAAAATCAACATCAGTATACAGGATGAGTATCAAAGTATGCAGGATGAACAACCTAATATTTCTTTGTCAAGATGAGCATTAAAGTATACATGATGAGTATCGAACCATACAGGATGCGCGA